ATATATAAGATAAAAATATACTTACAAAATATAAAAAGTTTCTTATAAATAAAACTTCACTCGTGTAAAAAATTATTTATAAGTACAAAACTAACTTACAACAGTAAAATTTACTTATTAAGTAAAAAATTTTATTATATGTAAATATTAAGTAAAATTTTTTATTATATGTAAATATAAGTTAAAATTAACTTATACGTCAAAAAAAATTAGTTATAAGTCCACTAAAAATATTTCATACAAGAAATTAAAAATTAAAAATATCATTAAGGGATATTTAAATAATTTAATTCTTTCAATAAACTTTCAGAACCATTAAATAATAAACTCTCAATCATTGATTGAATTGTTTTAAAAATTGCTACTAAAAATTATCCAAAACTAGACACCTCATAAACGCCAAAATTTTGTACTTAAATGAAAACCCCCAAGCAGGCCCCAAGAGTATATCCTTTAAAGTGGCAGACTTTATGCTATAGTCTTGGCTTGCTTGTGTCCGCAAATCAACATCAGGAAATAGAAAATCCTTCGTCGACCATATCACTTGTCTTTTATACAGAGATGATGGATGTGTGCTATTCTTTTATACAGAGATGATGGATGTGTGTTAGCCACAAAATAAAATAAAAAAATTCATTCGAGTATTACCTCTACGTGCCAAAAAACCACACTACATCAGAAAACCAACATTTCTATCCTCCAATCAAATTCAGCAAGGTAGACAAAAATATAGTAATAATAACAAGGAATGATGGTGACAAAATTTGTTGTTTTACCTCTTCACCGTATTTTTCATCAGGGACTCCAAATGCAACAGCTTGAGCAATGTCCGGATGAGATAAAAGGATGGCATCCACTTCAATTGGTGAAATCTTCTCCCCTGCAATTGTGGAGATAAATAATTATTGCTCTTTTTAAACCGGGAAAAAAAATAAACAATATGCTTCAAATAATGTACTTTCATCATGTAGAATGCAATTAAAACTAGACCACCCACAAGAAGCTATATATTTAGTTATCTACTATTTAGACAAACTAGCTTCAGCATCACTGCTAAACCTTTGGACAAAATCTTAACTGTTAATGTTTAGTTTTCGGTCCAAATACAGGAAAAATATATGCAATTCTCGATGCGAAACTCCATAATTGAATGAAGACATTGGTATGAGCTAAAATTAAAATTGCGTACTTCGATCATTTCTAAAGACCAAAACTTGACACTTCAACTATTTGCATGGAAAAAAAATTAATAAATTAGCAAATTTATATGCAATAGACGTTGTAGCATAGCTTCAACAAAACTGCAAAAGAATGTGTGCTCTCTATCAAAGAATAAGGAAAATAGGTCTGAATCTCCTATTGGAATGTTTTAATTATCCTAAACCAAAAATATAAAATTTTACCTCCACGGTTGATCAACTCCTTGATTCGACCAACAAGATGCAAATACCCATCGGAATCAAAGAACCCAATATCTCCAGTGTGGAACCACCCGAATTGGAAAGCGGATTTATTAGCCTCCGGGTTGTTCTTGTACCCCTTAGTCACGTTTGGACCTCTAATACAAACCTCCCCATTGATATTAGCCTCTTGTTGCACCCCATTCTCATCCAATATCGCCATCTCTTGACCCACAGGTTTTCCAACTGACCCTGGCTTATGTGGGTTATCCTCCGGCAATGGATTCGAAGCCATCAAGTGGCTTGCCTCTGTCATTGCATAAGCCTCCAAAACAGGTGCGCCGAATGCCTCCTCAAGCCGAGCTAATATGGCAGGCGCCAATGATGCGCTGCAGCTCCGAATGAACCGCAACTTCGGGTAGTCAGTTTCACCGCTGCTGAGGTGGCGGTCTAGGATGATTTGATGTATGGTAGGAACGGCAGTGTACCACGTGGCATTGTACTTTTTCATGTCCGACCAAAATGTTGAAGCTGAGAATCGGCCAGCGGCTGGGAGAGCCACCGAACCTCCAGCTCCTAGCGAGCTCAATAACCCTGCCAACAACCCATGCACGTGAAATAACGGTAACACGATCACTGTCGAGTCTGACTCGGTGAGTTTATACACGGATTTAATATTTTGAACGGAAGAGTACAAATTGTGCTGAGTTAACGGGACGCCTTTGGGTCGGCTAGTGGTTCCGGAAGTATGCAGGAAAAGTACCACGTCAGATTGGTCATTAATGATTTTAGAGACTGAATCAGGCTTTGACCGAGGCTGAGTTGAGGAGAGGGTGAGTTCCGAGTTGGCATCGGACAGTGTGGCTGTAATGTGAGGGATGTTCAGCTTCGAAGCCGCAGCTTCAGCCGGCTTGTTGCCTTCTTTTAAGGTTATTAGAATTTTTGATTCCGAGTCTGATAAGTAGAACTCAAACTCGTCAAGAGTGTAGGCCGAGTTGAGTGGCGCCGCTGTGGCTCGGACACGAATTACAGCCAAAAACATAATTACAAACTGCATTAATCGGATAAAAAAATAAAAAATTTAATTAGTAAAAGAAATCTTTCAATCAAAACCGTTAAAGAGTGTGAATAACAAGAAACAAAAAATTCCTTTTCTATATGCATAAATTCGAGATGTTTGTCCATGCTTAAGATGGCTTTTTGAGCTGGATAATACTGAGAAAACCAACTTAAAGTAAGTTTTTTTTTCACTGCAAACACGCTGAAAGCGTGAATTTTGATACAATTTTAGAAAGTTTATGATCGCACATTAAATAAGTTCTATCAATCAAACCGATTTTTAATAGAAATTTTTATTCAAATTAAATTTCGATACACACTGTGAAGTCAGATGCAATTTTAATACTCCCTCGGTAGCACGTTCGATTTATATATGCTTACTCTTTTTTTTTTTTTTATCTTATTGAACATTTTTTTTTGTTTATTTACTAATATATCCTCATTTAATTTGCTTAATTATAATCATTTTCCCACTTAATCTCAAAATTATATAAATATAAATAAAGGTATCTTAAGAAAGATAATGGAAAAAACTTTTTCAATAACATTAAATAAAATTTCTAAACACGTGTGAAAAACAAAACAAGCATAAATGAGAGAGGAGTAAATTTTCCTTGTTTGATGAACTAAATTAAATCCAGTAATTTAAATTCCAGGGACTGTCAAGATAAATAAAATCTAAAATCCTCTAAAATAATCGTCATTTTTCCTCAAAATAATTAAGAAAAATGAAAAAGATGAATGAAATTTACCTCGACGGTATTGGGGAAGGTGAGGGCGACGACGTCCCCTGGCTTCACGCCGGCGGCGAGGAGGCGAGAAGCGGCACATTCGATGAGTTCACGGAGCCGTGCATGAGAGATATTGAACTTGTCGGAGACAGAGATCGCTCGCCGGGAAGGGAATTTTCCGGCGACTTCTTTTAACAATCCGGTTAGCGTCAAACTAGCCATTAATTGAATTTGTTTCCAAATCCTCGAAAGGCAGGAAAATTGAGATTTGAGCTTGCGTGGAGATAAAAGAAAAGTGTAATACTGATTTGATAAATTGCAAAAGATGATAGAAAAGTGTCAAGCAAAGGGTGTTATATATAGAATTTACATACATGTACACATAGTGACGGTTAGCAATCGACCTCTGTAAATGGGGATTTTGAGGTGGCGGTCACTAATTTACGCATTTATTTCATACTTTTCATTCAACTTTTGATTGTTTTAAATTAATCCTCCTACTTTATATTTTATTTCAATTTAATTTTTTTTTTAATCTAATCATAATTTAACCATCTTAACTCTATCTTATATACAAGATTTATGTTTTCATTGAGCACTCTTAGGATAATAGAGTAACATATGTGACTAGATCTTGCCATATAGCAAGTCTTAGGTCAAGAGAAAATCAAATATAATGGAATTTGTAACTTAGCTAGTCAAATTGGTGACCCAACTTAGCTCCCGTTTGGCCCCCATTTTTTGTAAATGAAAATGGGGTGGAATAGTATTTTTAAAAAAAAATAAGTGGTTGAAAAAGAAGAAATTTTTTTCGATTTACGTGTGATATTATTTTATAGAAGATTGTGTGGTTAAAAATAGAAGAGAGAAAGAAGAAATGTAATGGGAGCCAAACGGGGGCTTATAAAGCTGATGACACAATTTTCGAGGCACTAGAATCATGATTTGTCTATTTTTTGTAGGATAAAGATATTTATACAAAATCTTATTGACAAAATGGTATACTCAATTTCAGAAGATTCGTGGACTCCATGTGAATTCAAAAAATGTTGGCGTGTGATAATCACTCTCATTGTGAGTAGTGAATAAGGGAATTTTTAAAAAAAATTGTACATATAGCACGATCATTTTTTGTATGGTGGTAAATGACGTGCATGATAAGACGACCAATTATATTAGTTAGGTCATAAATTCCATTGGCTAGGCTATGAATTGTGTCGGCCAATCATGAATTTCATCTTTTTGGATCACGGTTACAAACACAAGTTTAATGGAAATAAAGTTGCAGATCAAATTGAAAAAAATATAAGCTGATTGATAAAAGATAAAATTAGTTAACTTGGATGATCAATACGAGGCAAACCTATTAGTTGAGAGAAGGAAATTGCAATCTTTCCCAGGATTGTAGTTGGGGTTTCAAGTAGCACATCTATATCAGCGGTGGCGGCGACACGCGGGGGAGGTATTCCACGTGGCTATTCATTGGATATTATGCCTGGCTCCTATTGTGATTTCCAACGAATATGAGGTCTTCTTCAAAGCTTCTTGAAAGTTTCCGTGTGCAATCCTTCGAAACCCGTCAGGTAGGAAAGGCGCCTGGCTTTTCGCTTTCGCGTTCGATTGGAGAATTACGCGTGTAGGGGTGACGGCGAGTCCAAATTGGCTGTCGCTTACCTCCCCGACAGACTCGAATTTAGTGAGTTGAGCCCTAGAACTTGTGATCTTTGCGAGCCGATTTATATTTAATTTTTATAAATTAGTTGATGATTATTATTATTATTTTGAAAAGCTATCTCGACTCGTAACAAATAGGCCCATAGATAGTGCCCGGCTCGATTGATGGGCAAGTAGGAGCCGTTGAATTTTTTATTGAGGGACTAAACTTTTAAGTTTCACGAGTTTTTCAAATAGGAAAATGAGAATATAACTTGAAGAGGGAGATTAACGAGAGTAAAGTTGTCAAGCAGTTGTTTGGAGAAAGTCTACATCATATGGTAAGATGGTCAAGAATATGATGCTCGGTGCAGCTCACTTATGTGGAAATTAACATTTCACATGTATGGAAATAGGACTAATGTACATTCTTGAGATATTTTAAAAATTGATATAGACCCCTCATTCCCAGTCGATACTTATTTATTCAAAATTATATGAACCATGTTATGTTGTTAGAAAATAATTGATACGTAATTTGATCGACACTCATAATGGGGCTCCACTTTCTTTTTTTTTTGGGACTTTTTTTATTTGCACGTGACCTATGAATATCTGAAAAACCAGCTTAATTCAAATTATATTTTGTCTTGTTTTTAAAATTACCGACATTAATATGATTCTTTTGTGTTACGTGGGTGCTTCATGTTCAAGGGATAGACGCAATCTTGACCTAGTAGAACATTGCCTCTAACGTGGCAGAATGTGGGTTTATCAAGGAAACGTCCTCGGCCGCGGGATGGCCAATTTAATTTGGCTGCTTTGTGCAAGTGGGTTCCAAACTATTTTCTGCTTCAAATTCAAGGGCACAATGCACATCATTTTCTTTATTTGAATGCCTTGGTGCAATGTCGACATACAATTCTAATAAATTTTGGACACCTGGTCTTCACACCACCTTCAAATTTTAATGTAGTCCATGTTTTGCTGAGCTTAAATAAATTATTTTTACGTTTATTTATTCACTGTTTAGTTTAGATAAAATAAAATATTAGCATATTTTTATAGAAATTGATGAAAGGGTAATTGGCACAACATGTCCCTACCTTTCAAACTAATTGTGGAAAATGTCAAAACCTTTCATTTTTTGACATTTTCGCCCCTACCTTTTACATTTCTTGGCGCAAAAGGTCCTTTTCATTCGTTTTTGACGATTTTACCCTTCATTCAAATAAAATAAAAAGAAAAAAAATAAAGAACTAATTGAAATAATAGTCCCAAAATTTCAAAAAAATTACAAATTGGTCACAATTTATTGTGAACTGAAAAAATTTTAAATTACCAAAAAAGGAAAAGAAAAGGAAACTTGAATATACAGAGAAATGATCAAGAAATAGAGAAAATTTTGGACCATAGCCAATGAAACTGAAAATCTTCAAAAATTGGTAAGCATAAATCTCAATTTTTATTTTGTGAAGAGTAGATGGAAAGTTTGAGGCAAAAACACGTAATCTTCAAATTTTTTCATTTCCATTGTTTATGATTAAAAATTTCTCCATTTCTTGATTATTTCCCTGTACATTCAAGTTTCTTTTCTCTACTTAATTTTAAAATTTTTTAGTTCACAATAAATTATGACTGATTTATAATTTTAAAAAAAAATTGGGACTATGATTGCAATTAATTCTTTATTTTTTTTCTTTTCTTTTCTTTTGTTTCATTTCAGTGGAGGGTAAAGTCGTGAAAAGGACATTTTGTGCAAAGAAATGTGGAAGGTAGGGGCAAAATGTCAAAAAATGAAAGGTAGAATGTTTTCGACAATAAATTTGAAAGGTAAGGACATTTTGTACCAATTACCCTTGATAAAATGTGAGTCCCATGAAATCAGTGGTTGAAAATTAGTTTTGAGTCCCAAATAGAGACTTAAATTAAATAATTAATTGCTTTTACTAATTAATTTAATATTAAAAATTTTGCAGTAGAGATCCCAAATCTTAAAAAAAAATATCGTTGGATATCAAACCTTCTAATCTTAGCACCTTATATCCAAAAATCGAAGATTTTTACATTTTTTATAATTATTTTTTTATTTTTTTATTTTTGGCAAAACGTATATGTGGCAACTCCTAAAAAATTGAAGATTGGTCTCCAAATTCTCACAAAAAAATAAATTTGAACTATGATTTTAAGGCTCGTTCAAATATACAATAGATATTGCATTCCCTATTTCTGTTAAATTTTAAATTATATGATTTCAAGTCAATAGCAAACGAACATTATTGATTATTCCAACTTCACATTTTCACACTCTTTTGTGGATGTATTTAAATGCATCTTTATCCAATTGCCTCTTTAGACAGTCCAAAAAATGGTTGGCCTATATAAAACATCCACGTTCAGTTGCTAATTTTATAGGATGATAATCTCCCATTTGCTGGTACTCAAGTTTTGGACTATTATATCACATGATTGCACTTGCTTTATCATCGCCAATATTAAATTTATGTCCATTATACGTGCTTTAAATTCCACTGATAAAAGGTTTAAATTTTTAGGATGTTTGGATTTAAAATATTATAGTGAATTATTGGTTTTTTTTTTTTAACTGTAATCTCTATATCCAAATCTTTAATCATTGAATCACAAAGATTAGCACTTTAACAATCAATATTATGGTTAGAGATGGCAAAAATCCCTGCCCCGTCCCGTCCCGAATGGGCTGGAAAAAACCCGTCCCGACGGGTTGGTGGGGCTGGGCATCCCCGCCTCGAACCCACACCATTAAGAGAAAAAATAAATAGACGAGGCGGCAAACGGGGCAAGTCGTCGCCCTACTGTAATCACTAATTATGGTGTGTGGTTTCGATATTGGCCCTAATTCCGCCCATTACTATTAGAAATCCATTTTATACGAAAATATGTTTTATCTTTATTTTCAAAACGATTTTCAGTAGAATAAAGTTCGATCGGTAATCTTGCTACAACATACTGCACACTTGCAAGATAGTCTTCCCATTGTAATAGTACATGTAATTATTTGTAAATTTAATTTGGTCTAAAGTTTCATCCTTATTAAACTCGATCTTATTGATACTTTTGATTTTTACATTTATGGGAAATCTGTAGTTTTTATTCACTATTTAGACAAACAATATATAGAATAATTTCATCAATAATGTTACTCAAACAGGGATTGGAAACAGGGGCTTCGACAGGTATTGAGTTGTTAGCGTTTGTATGGATTTTTTTTTTTTTTAACTATCCAATGATATTGCATCACGTGTCTCCCCGTTTTTAAAATCTGTCATTGAACCTATCAACTCTAAATTCATTACTCGCTAAAATCTCATGTTAAAACAATATGATTACATTAAACTACAATATACAAACTCTATCTTAAGAATAATCAATAATGTATACTAAGATAAAAATATTACCTAGAAGTAAATAACTCATAAATTTAGTCAAAATCAAATAAAAATTTCTACTGTTACATTCATAACTATTATTCATTATTATTCACATATTTTGTAGGATCTACTACTACTCTTTTTATTATTTTTCTCCATAAATTGTTCATAAATTTGTCAAATGGAGGCCTAAATATCCAAATCTCAGAAAAATGAAGTGTAAATAATGTTATACCAGGGAAGTTATTTTTGAAAAATTTTATTTAGCCCCCGTTTGAGCCCCATTATTCCTCATTACATTAAATTAAAATTTTCTCTCTCCTACTTTTAATCACACAATTTTCAATAAAATAATATTACACGTAAATCAAAATCTTTTCTTTTCTTTTCAACCACTTATTTTTCAAAAAAACACTATTCAAAACATTATAATCTCCAAGAAATGGGGCTCAAACGGGGGTTATATGTATAGGGCTAGGCACCCAACTCGTGAACCAAAATACGACCTGACCCAATCCAATTCCAGCCGGTTCGGGTCGGTTTTTGCCTCTTCGTCGGTTGAGTTGGATTGGACAGATTTGGTTAGATGGTTGGATCCTACAAAGTATTTGGCCACTTGAATGAGTAAAAATTGAAATAACAATTATGCCCTACTTCGTGGGGGTGACAATGGCCCATATATGATGATTTTAGGAGGTGATGGCGACGACTACATATCATGTAACACAATAAACATATTTGAAAAACACCCAATTTTTTTTGAAAAATTTCATCTTTCGTAATGTTACAAAATTTATTGATATAACTGATTTTTTAAATTGGATTCCAAAATATTCCATAATTATGTAATTAACCCTATAAAATAATCACCACATGAGAGAAGAATAACTCGTCGCTATTTGATAATCACTCAAATTTAATTCAAAGATTCAATAATACTTAATACAACAATCATATTTCAATACATTTTTTATATGAAACTACGTAACCTTCTGACTATTGATCATCATCTTATTCAAACAAACATATAATATTCTACAACACGCAGTCGGAAAAATCCATCGGTGTCGGCTTGTACTCTATGACCGTGAAACGTGTAAACTCATAAGTATTTAGTGGCTTGTCTGGTGTAATCTGTGTATGCCGGGAAATGATATCAATAAGGAGCCATTGCTGGGGCAATCATGAAGCTTACAGGCTTGACACCTGACTCGGGGCCAGGTGCTACATATCCTGAGCTCTTGATTTCACTCATTTCTCGACGAGCATTTGCACCTTTCGCATCACATAATTTGGGAAGATATACACCTACCAAATAGTTTATAAAGGTTAAGAATGTTAGCGAAAATAATTATTTTCATGGAAATAAAAAAAAAAAACGATGCATTAATTGTCTAAAATTTTGGATAATCATATTTACACTACAATTTTATTTTTATTTTTTTGGTACCATATTTTAATTTTAATTAAAGTCATCAACCTTTTTTCATTGTAACACTTATGTGCCTAACTTTTTCATCAAATTATTATCTTAAATCTTCTGTTATAATTGTTTACAACAAAACATTGAATTTGCGAGCTTTAAAATGAGGAAAAAAACAATTGATTGTTCTTTCACATTTATTTTTTTGAAAATATGATAGGGAAATAAGTCGTTTATGCCCTTTCAATAGTCTTTTTGGATGAAAGTCGTTTTTACAGATGAGATATGTTAATTAATGGAAAGTACAATGTAATAATCCGATGAAAAAAGTTGGGGAAAAATGCGCAAATAAAATTTGAGGACCTTCATTGCAATTAAAATTCAGTCCAGTTAAAAAGAAAAAGGAAAAAGAAAAAGAAAAAAAGGAAAAAGAAAAGAAAAAGAAAAAGTGTTATGAGTATAATTATCCTACACTTTTTGTCACAAAGATATCTTTTTATCAAGCATACTTTAATTACAGTATTTTTTAAATCATTTTTGATGGCTCTCTCACATTATACGTGTGGACTAACGATTAAAATTGTATTGGGTCCACTTATGTGAGTGGGCTGTCAAAAAGAGTGTCGTGTTGGAGTATTACCTTCCCCAGCGGCAAGATTGAAGTAGAGATCAACAATGTTGGGGCAGCCACCATAGCATTGTGTTGAGCAGAGTTTTTGGGTAAAATGAGAGTCCAAAAGAGAGTCAGATGAAATTCCCAGCACATTCCTATCCAAGCCACAGGCCTTGATGCACTTATCAGTTTCAATCATCTCCTTGAGTTTTTCGGCCTCAATTTCTGATGTTCGGCATGAGTATACTTCATCGCCGGTTCTGCGCACATGCTTCTCCAGCACGCAGCGCTTCCCGGAAGATGATATTGCATAGGCACACGAGTCTTTGTTCAAATTCTCGCAGGATATTTTTCCTGTGATATCATTTATCAGAAAAGAACAAATTCAGTACAGTTATGAATTAACATCATTCTCCTAGAAATTAAGGTGATGGTTGGTACACGAAGAGATCTGAATCGTTTTCCCATTAGACTAATAGATTTATAATAAAAGAACGAGAACCAACTTGTTTTTGTTTAAGGATGATGGATCAATTATTATTATTTTTAAACATAGTCAGGCATTTTATTTTGTTGTCCTTGAAAATGTTTGACACCTTAGGTTCGTCAAAATGACGGCGTGGTGTAGGGTTGTAATTGGTGAGTTGACCAAGTCATGGCCAATGTACGAGCTCATGAATCAAAAGTTGACTGGAAGTGGTTGGCCAAGGTTAATAAGATGAACTGCAAAGAGGTTGAGCTCAAGTGATGTGACGGTTGAGCTTCAAATGTCAAGCTCGCAACTCATACTCGTACTAAGCTCATAGACACAAGATCGAAAGGGTAATGAAAGGCTAAAATGGCATAATATACTAATTGTAAATCTTTTCGAGATCGATATATTTACAAGATCTTTGAATTAACAATACATGACATGGAGTTTCTTGACATAATATTATCTAATTGTTAAAAACGCGTCTAAGAGACTAAAACAAAAATGCAAATGCATGTTGTAATTCTTGAAACAAGAAATTCACTAACCTTGTACGGCTTGCATGCAAAAGACTAAAGCAAGAACAAAAATCCCCAAACTCTTCAAACCTTGATGTGAAGCCATGGTGATGATAATGGGAGCCTAAATCACTTACACAAAATGCGAATTAAGTGCTTAGGCCTATTACAACAAAGAGCCAATAGCAAATGCTATTTATAGACTAATGTGATGAACAGAACGAAACAAGGAATTGGACTGTGTGAAAATTACACTTCCCATTTTCTTGCTGAAGTTAGGCCAAAGATGATGGGAATGGGACCCCCATTTTTACCATTTTTTGCTGGTAGACTGACGGTGGAGATTTGACAAGGAAGCACAATCACCGGTCATAATCATCTCCGCTACTCACGCCGGGACTTTGGAATTATACAATTTTTTTCAAAAGCATCAATCATGATGGTGGGTGCTGAGTTTCCTAGAGATTGGACATGGCCTGTTCTCTTCTCTTATGGAGAAGTCATGCACGAAGTTTGGCACATAATTTGACTTTGAAGATTCGTGCTACTTGTGGGTTGAGAGGTCTACGTGGGTTTGGGCCATTGAGTTCAATTTTTAATTAATTTGTTAAAGGAACATATTTCAAAAGGCTTGTAGAAGATTGTTGACATCGAGAGTTTAACTTCACATAGTCAACTTTTTTACCAGAATCATGCCGAGAATGAGGTTCATCTTTACAAATATTGTTATGAGTTACCTATCAATCATAATGTGTTAGTGAAGATGTTTTTAGCAATTTATTGATTTCTCAAAATGTATGGATAAAAATTGATTTGAATGTTTATACATAGTTTATAAACATGCACAAAATATACGCTAATTTACACTCCTGAGGTTCCACAATGTAGGCTTACGTTCGGTGGGGATATTTTGGTCTAGAATTGAATTTTTCATTTAAAAGATTTCAGTATTATTGTGATCATATTTTTTGAAACCTGTTACACCTCTGGATGAGAGTGTAGAGGCGTAAAGTGAATTCGATGTGTTCGATTCAACTCTTTTTCTAATTTCGGTATTGACTTGATTTGTTCATGTGGATTGTTTGCTAACGCTCACATATTTTTTCACGTGTTAGAATCAAAGGTGGATTTGCACGCATCCCAGTAAATCTGCAAATGTTCAACAAGAATGAGACATGTATTAATTTGACCCAGTAAGATTTTACATGCCGAGTTAGAAAGAAGAAAAATAGAATGAATTTGAACTTTATGAAAACTAAACCAATTTGCTTAGGTTTACATGGGATCATCTGTTAATTTCTGAAACATCTATCCAATAAATACATATTTTTCATCAACATTCCAACTTTTCTCATTCCCCAAATTCAGTTTTCTCCAAGACCTAAGTTTGCCATTTTCACCCAGCCCTTGTTTGAGTCACATTATTGAAAGAAAATGCATTTTTAAATAGTATATTGATGAGAAATGTGTGATTACAAATAATAAAAAAAAAGTTTTGAATTTGTTTATAATATTATTTTATTGAAAAATGTATGATGTCAAATCACTGTTGAATAATGTATTTTTTCCAAAAAAGTGTGGCTCAAACAAGAATAATTTTTTTATTTTTATTTTTATTTTACTTAGCTTGTCTGCACCAAAGTTAGCAACCGGCCACCGTTTTTCAACTTCAAGGTTAGATGCCTAAAGATCTCACGATTTGAACAGCTTCCTTGTTGGATTTTTGTTCTTATGAAACTAGTAGTTTTTTATTGTGATTCAAAGGAATATTAGGTCTTTGTGATTTGCTCATTGAATTGATTATTTTTTTATGGTTCGAACTATTTTTTGGAATGGATTGACATTTATTTCTTTGTTGAATTTTAGGTCAAATAATCACGAAAAAATATTTTAAATGAAAATCTCCATTTTCGTGTGAATAGCAAAATATTGGTGAAACGAGTATTGAGAGGAAAAAGATGTTGGAAAAAACTTTTAACTTAATTTTTGACCTCACAACGAATTATGTCTGGCTCCGCAATGGTTAGAATCTATTTTTAATTTTAATAAAAGCTCTTTTTTTTTTTTAATTTTAATTCATTTCAAATCGAGTCGTAGTTGCTTTATTGTGTACTATTGGAGTTTGTTAAAAGGTTGAACCCCAACCTTGAGAGCTCACACCGCATCGTCCCTGGAGTATCGTGAAGAAGGTAAATCGCGTGATATGTCACAACAGGTTAGGGAATAAGAGTTTGTTCGTACACTGGTACCGACAAAGAATTTAATTCCATATATCAAGAATTGAATCCTTACACTGCGGCTGTCAACAAGGCTGAGACTATCTCACTCCTATCTTTTGCACCACTAAATTATGCCACAAAGGGGCGTACTATATGAGTTTGTTGATACGCTAAACTCAACAAAATGAAGCATAATCACACGCATTTCTATTTTAATGGGCAACTTACAAAAATGCTTTTAAAATTAGGATTTTTTTGAAAAATCATATGAAAAGTTTTTTGAAAGTAAAAAATACTTTGTAAAATTAAAAAGTGACATAATGTCACTTTTTTTTTTATATATAAAAATTGTGTCACTTTTTTTTAACTTTTTTTTAATAGTTAAAAAAAGTGACACAATGTCACTTTTATAAGCTTAGTATCACCTTTTTATTAAAAAATTGCATACAATATCACTTTTATTAAAGAGTGTGTTTATCCCCAAAAAAAGTGATAGAAATTTAAAAAAAAAAAACGATTGGAAAACAGTGACATACACTTAAAAAAAAGTGACAATTACTAAACAAGGTGACAAATTCAAAAAAGTGAAACAAATTAAATAAAAAGTTACACAAATTCAAAAAAAGTGAAAAAATAAAAAAAGTGACAAATACTTAAAAAGTGAAAAAAAAAAGAAAAAAAAAAGAAAAAAGATGAAGAAGTGACACAAACTCAAAAAATGTGACAAACATTTAAAAAGTGACGAAATTCAAAAAAAAGTGACAAACGTTGAATGATTAGTATCTATTTTACTCTATTAAGACTTTTGGTAGAAATAAAAAGTAATGTCTGTCACAAAAAAAGAAAAAAAAAAGTGATAGAAGTCAAATTAAAAAAAGTGACAAAAATTCAAAAAAAGTTCACAAATTACATTGTAATCTAATGCATTGGAACCCATAAAAAAGGTTAGTTTTCAGCATTTTGTCATATTGGAGTGGGTGTTAAAAAAAAAAAAAATTGTCCAAATAGGAGCCAATATATATTATTATCAATAAGGTGCATATTTCTCATGTTCGTTCATCATTTGAGCACATACAGAATTCGAATAATCGAAACGAGATGATAGCCATTTCAACTTATTCCTTAAACGGTACAATTATGTTTGGACAACTTACAAAAATACCCTTAAAATTAGGGTTCTTTTGAAAAATCATATGAAAAAAATTTTTAAAGTAAAAAATACTGTGTAAAATTAAAAAGTGACATAATGTCACTTTTTTTGTAAAATTGTGTCACTTTTTTTCACTTTTTTTAATAGTTAAAAAAAGTGACACAATGTCACTTTTAAAAGCTTTGTATCACTTTTTTATTAAAAAATTGCGCACAATATCACTTTTATTAAAAAGTGTGTTTATAACTAAACAAAGTGATAGAAATTTTAAAAAAACGATTGGAAAAAAGTGACATATACTTAAAAAAAGTGACAATTACTAAACAAGGTGACAAATTCAAAAAAGTGAAACAAATTAAATAAAAAGTTACAAATTCAAAAAAATGAAAAAATAAAAAAGTGACAAATACTCAAAAAGTGAAAAAAATTTGAAAAAAAATGACACAAACTCAAAAAATGTGACAAACACTTAAAAAATGACGAAATTCAAAAAAAGTTACAAATGCTAAATGATTAGTACTTATTTTACTCTGTTAAGACTTTTGGTAGAAACAAAAGTGAAGTTTGTCACCAAAATGAAAAAAGAAAAAAGAAAAAAAGAAAAAAAGAAAAAGAAAAAGTCATAGAAGTCAAATTAAAAAAAAAAGTGAGAAAAATTCAAAAAAGTTACACAAATTACATTGTAATATAATGAATTGGAACCCATAAATAAGGTTAGTTTTCAGCATTTTGTCATGTTGGAGTGGGTGTTAAAAAAAAAAAAAAGAATTTGTGCAAATAGGAGCCAATATATATAATTATCAATAATGATCATATTTCTCATGTTCGTTCATCATTTTATCACATACAAAATTCGAATAATCAAAACAAGATGATAGCCATTTTCAACTTATTCCTTAAATGGTACAATTATGTTTGGGCAACTTACAAAAATACCCTTAAAATTAGGGTTCTTTTGAAAATTATATGAAAAGTTTTTTTAAAGTAAAAAATACTGTGTAAAATTAAAAAGTAACATAATGTTATGTCACTTTTTTTATAAAAATTGTGTTGCTTTTTTTAACAATTTTTAAAAAAAGTGACAAAATGTCACTTTTAAAAACTTAGTATCACTTTTTATTAAAAAATTACATACAATATCACTTTTATTAAAGAGTATGTTTATCACTAAAAAAAGTGATAGAAATAAAAAATAAAAAAAAACGATTGGAAAAAAGTGACATACACTTAAAAAAAAAAAGTGACAATTACTAAAGAAGGTGACAAATTCAAAAAAGTGAAACAAATTAAAAAAAAAAAAAAAAAGTTACACAAATTCAAAAAAAAGTGAAAAAAATTCAAAAAAAAAAAAAAAGGAAAAAAAAAAAATTAAAAAAAAAGAAAAAAAAATAAAAAAAAAAGAAAAAAAATTCAAAAAAAAAAAAAAAGGAAAAAAAAAAAATTAAAAAAAAAGAAAAAAAAATAAAAAAAAAAGAAAAAAAATTCAAAAAAAAAAAAAAAGGAAAAAAAAAAAATTAAAAAAAAAGAAAAAAAAATAAAAAAAAAAGAAAAAAAATTCAAAAAAAAAAAAAAAAGAAAAAAAAATAAAAAAAAAAAAAAAAAAAAAAAAAAAAAAAAAAAAAGTGATAGAAGTCAAATTCAAAAAAAGTGACAAAAATTCAAAAAAAGTTATACAAATTATATTGTAATATAATGAATTGGTACCCATATAAAAGGTTAGCTTTCAGCATTTTGTCATGTTGGAGTGGGTGTTTAAAAAAAAAAATCTGTGCAAATAGGAGCCAATATATATAATGGATATTTCTCCTTGCACAGGGTC